CACACACACACACACACACACACACACACACACACACACACACACACTTCATTCCTTAGGCTCCTTGGAGAGGTCTCAGCTACACTGGTTTTGAGACACCCTGTATCAGTCAGGATTCTCCAGAGAAAGAGAACCAATAGGATATACATATAGATATCCTGTCTTACAAAATATATGTATAAGTAACTTACAGATTGGGGAGAGATATTTTTCAGCAATTGGCTCCCAAAATTGTGGGAGTTGGCGCGTGTGAAATCTGCAGGGCTGGCCAATAGGCTGGAACTCAGGCAGAATTTCTATGCTGCAATCTTGAAACAGAAACTGCTTCTTCCAGCAACCTCAGTCTTTGCTCTTAAGGCCTTCAACTGATTGAACGAGGCCCACCCACTTTATGGAGGGTAATCTGCTTTACTCAAAGTCCACTAAGTTAAATGTTAATCACGTCTAAAAACGAAGTTAATTAAACACTTTTATACTCTATAAAGCTTACAACAATATACTATAACATAGCTCATTAAAAATTTTTCAAGAAAAATGACAAATTGGGGTTGTAAAGATTGCTTTAGGCTGATTAAACTATAAATAAGCTATCTTATGTAACTTAATTATATAAGGTATAAGCCGGTTTTCAGTCTACAGTCTTTAATTGTACTTATCCAATCATGAGCAAAGTTACTTTGCAGATGGCCTGAACTTATGTAGGTTTCATTTTCCTAAAATAAATTCACTCAACTGTATATACAACTTCATGCACCAGACTTTATTAGAGCATTTAGTAATTACTGAAAGATGAATATTTCTCCTCTTCTAAAGCTGGTAGTTTTGTTAAAGTTCTACAGAAACTAGAATATTTGCAGATCAAATGAAAGAGTAACTATTTCAAAATACAACACCATTTTCATCTGAGCTATGAAAATAAAAGTAAACCCTCCCTTAAAGAGATATACTAAGTAGTATATATACAGATGCTGAGGTTTCCCTGCCCCCAAATAACTTGAAGACACTTCTCAAAAATCAATTTTCCTTTAAAAAATCATTAAAAAAAAAAAAAGCAAATCACTCCAAGTTGCTAAACATCCTAAATTTCCTATTTTCTGACGAAATTTTAATACAAAAGCTTAACCTTTGTAAACAAATGGACAAACTACCAACATATTACGGACTATTCCAACTTGACTGGTCTCAGGAATTCCGTTTGGAGTGAATGAGCACAGAGCATTAAGGCACCGCTTCTGTGGCTTGAGGTAGATTTATCTCCTTCCCATGGCTCAGACTGGTGGAAAAGGAACAGGAGAACAGTAGTTAGTGGAGCCTGAACTAGCCCCTTCCTGGTCTCTAGAACTCAGCACGCCAAAATGAATGTCACTCCTGTTCATCCGCTCCATCCCTAACTCAGATATTCACTGAAGTTGCATCTCACACGGCCACTGGAAGCTAAGGTCAGTCAGTGCAATGGGGGAAACTGCCCGCGGTCAAAATCGCTCTCAAAATTCTCTTAAACACGTGCTGCTTTCAAGACACACATGCCATCTCCTGATAGTCTAATGCACTAGGTTATTTTTCCCTCTGGTGTTGGAGAAAAGACAGCTATTTCTTGGGTGAAGGACCAGATAAAGTGGCTGGGCTGGCTTTCGGGGCCACCTTGTATGAAAAAAAATGCATGTTGTTAATAACCAGGTTGTCATTGAGCCCAGTTGGATGCTCACACAAGAGGTAGGTAGGAGCTGATGTCAACTGAGGCAACACAGTCTCCCATCCTCATGCAAACACTAGGGC